ATGAGAAATTTATATAAACTTTCCCATTATCAGCCTCAACAAATATTTTAACAAGGCCACTTTTATGATGCATAAGACCTTTATTTTAAATTTCTAATTTTGAATTGCATTTTAGATTCCAAATGCCTATGTTAAGCAAACCAGCGAAGCTGTGCTACTTTATAATGGCTCGAAAGATCACCATGGTCGCGTACCACAGAGTGAACAAAGAAAAAATTTGCTTTTCTACAGCCACGGCTATCAGCTAGTGATTAAAGCTTCACCTGGAAATGCGATCTTTGAAATTTCAGTCAGTGTCAAATTAGTAGAAGGAAACGCTGAAGTCGAGAACTTTGATTTGTCGCAGGTTAGTCGAATTGACCGCTACGCCCCTTGGGTCAGTTGTCTTCGAGATCAACTTCCTGACTATAGAAAATTCTGTATTTGCCGTTGAATAATCCCAATCTGTTTTCATTCAGCTAACTCAAACTATTGCCTCAACCAACAACAATTGCTTTGGTATCCAGAGGCATATCTGTTTATTGCAGGGTATTCTCCTGGCTGCATTCCAGCAAGGTCTTTTCCTTTGATCACTTTCTTACCATATTTGTAATAAAGCACTATTTTTTTTATTTTTGTACGAGAAAGCTTTTCTAACGCTTTATGCTCTTAAAGGTTTTTGACTCACACGAACTGCCGTACATGCTCTCGCTAAATGCCTATGCTAGTTATTCAACTTGGTGTTTTGGTGCGCCATTAGACTTTTTCTTTTAATAGAAGTCGACAGATCCTATCAACTTGGGGAGATATGCCCACATTCTAGTACAAGAAAAGTATTCAGCCCTTACATTCTGTCAAGATTGTAGACAGAAACATGTCAGTGTAATTAGATGTATTCACCCTATTTCGTGTAAGGTGATGAAGGACTGGTAGTAGAATTTTCCAACAATAACATGAGTTGAGCTTACTTTTCCATTGAACTTCACATAGCTTTGCTTTCCCAAAAGTTGTTCTCATCCAAGGTGGACTGCACTCCCACCAAAAGAATATGATATAGCAGAGGTCTGACGTTGCTTGAAATTCACTTATGCCCTGTGACTCAAGGGTACTCGTGGCAGTGTAGCCGAGT